TACCTAACTTTATAATACCTAACTCGTTTATAATGCCTAACTTTACTCAAGAAAAGTTGATAGTCGAGTAAATTTAGACTTTTACTTTGGAAAATTAATACCTGTCGTTTATAACTACCTAAATTTATAATACCTAACTTTATAATACCTAACTCGTTTATAATGCCTAACTTTACTCAAGAAAAGTTGATAGTCGAGTAAATTTAGACTTTTACTTTGGAAAATTAATACCTGTCGTTTATAACTACCTAAATTTATAATATCTAACTTTATAATACCTAACTCGTTTATAATGCCTAACTTTACTCAAGAAAAGTTGATAGTCGAGTAAATTTAGACTTTTACTTTGGAAAATTAATTCCTATCATTTATAACTACCTAAATTTATGATACCTAACTTTATAATAACTAACTCGTTTATAATGCCTAACTTTACTCAAGAAAAGTTGATAGTAGAGTAAATTTAGACTTTTACTTTGGAAAATTAATACCTATCGTTTATAACTACCTAAATTTATAATACCTAACTTTATAATACCTAACTCGTTTATAATGCCTAACTTTACTCAAGAAAAGTTGATAGTCGAGTAAATTTAGATTTTTACTTTGGAAAATTAATACCTGTCGTTTATAACTACCTAAATTTATAATACCTAACTTTATAATACCTAACTCGTTTTTAATGCCTAACTTTACTCAAGAAAAGTTGATAATCGAGTAAATTTAGACTTTTACTTTGGAAAATTAATACCTATCGTTTCTAATAAAAAGCTTTGTTGTGTTATTATTAATCATATCCTACTTTAGACAGTGCATCCCCCCTTTTTTTCAAAGGCAATTGGGGGTAAGGATTGACAAGAAAGTGAGGGATATTATTTTTATTACATTTTCTACACTAAATTAAATGATATTAACTTTTTTTGGCATAAAAAGTACTATTTTAATTTATTTTATAATATTTTATTTCATAACGATCGTTGAATAGTCGACCCAATATTTTTTGGTATATGACTTCTTATGTTCAACTCCGTAGCCTTGTAATTTTGAACCAAATCCAGAAGACAAGAGAACTCCTGGATTAGGTATTGTGAGAAATTTGCCTTCGTGGAGAACTTTTTGATGGAACTAACCTGCATTTGTGTTACATGGAGATGAAGACCACGAGGACCTCCCACAGTTAGAATGACGGCAAAGGGACTCTAACTCATGATCCGTCTTCCACTGAGGATATTTCACGTCAGCACTGTGGTCGGTGCAAGCCGGATGCGGATTCGTTTGGACCTGCCATCGCCGGGATTCGAATCCGGTTCATCTCATTGGAGCACTATCATTGAATTGTTCTTATTATGAAGAAAACGCTCATAATTTCAAACTTATTAATCCAACCAACTAAAATTTTATCTCATTAAGTTCAGCATAAAAAATTTCCTCGGAGAATGTAACTAGCCTGTTTAGACAACCACCAGATATAAAGTAAGAAAGCGCTAAATCATGTTAAAAGTAATACTATTCATGTGTGAAAACGTTTGGAATTCTAGAACTATTCATTCTATTTACTCCTAATAGTCAAAAAAATACTTACTAAAACAATATTTCGCTTATATCAGATACGTAAATAGTTACCAGAACAAATTTGTACATAAACCCCTTATAACTTTAAAACGATTAATCCGATTATCCTGGAATTGATCTCATTCAATTCAACGTAAAAAAAAGAAGAAAAAATGCATCTCAAACAATACTTCACTTGCCTAATTAGAAAAAAATCACGCCTCTCCCTCAAATTATCCCGAAAACAAAAGATAGGTGCATAAAGAGGAGAGTAGGGGACTTTTCGTGTATCATTTATAATAACATAATAAACCTTTCTGTCAATAAATACATTGGGTATTAATTTTTTTGAAGAAGCAGCATTTGGTTTAATATAATATATAATTAATTTGCAATAGAATTTGGTTTGCTGGACTTCGGAAATAGAATTTGGTTTGCTTCGGTTTGCTGAAAAGTCAAATACCAGAAGTATTTCTTGGTGTACTCGTACATCAAGAATAGTTCTTGTTTTCGTCAAAGATCAAGAATGTTGTTTTCCACTATTTTCGGAGAAAATAAATAATTGCTCTAATTTTTTAATATCCATCTAATTTAAAGTGAGAAGAGTAGATTTAGGAAGTGTATTAGGATATTCTAGTTTTAAAAACGAAATTACTCTAGGAACCAAACAT